TCACTTTTTGTCCACTAATCGACTTTATTTTCAATGCCACTTTTTGTTGCCTACTATCCTTACAATATAGGATTAGTCTTCCATCTCTCAACTTCTTGACACTTTCTATCGATCCTTCGTTTCTGTCTAATTACTTTAGACAGCTTCAGCGGATTTATTATCTTAAAAGACTCATCCACAAACTTCATCATTACCTTGAACTCCTCTTTCTTTCCTCTTATCGGATGATTTTCATTTCCACTGTCAGTTTCAGATGTATTACTCCAGATTTTCTTTCTTTTCCGATTTTCTACTAAACTCCACTCATTATTCCCGTTCCCTCCTTCTTCATCCACGCCAAACATTTCATCCTCCATTTCCGGATCCCTTCCGGACTCTACGTCACTACCTACCATGCACACTCCAGTCACAGATCAGCTGTTGCCAAAACCAACCACCCCCTAAATTGGGCAATGCACGCCCTCGCACGATAACTGTACAGTTCCTCACTCATTATTCCCATTCCCTCCTTCTTCATCCACGCCAACCATTTCATCCTCCATTTCCGGATCCTTTCCGGACTATACGTCACTACGTACCATGCACTACGTTACGCAACCTGCCAACCTTTGCGCTATTCATAGGGCAAAATAAATACCTCTGCCCCACCCCCTACACCATCCTTATTATCCACTCGGTCACATATGCAACACAGTAGAAAAAAGTGTCAGAGAAAAAAAAATGTTAGGCTACCGCGTTTTATTCGGGATTTTAATCCTGCGGCGCAAAATATCTGGTCGGGTCCCGCGGGTCCCGCGGGAGAGCTGCGGGAATGCAGACCTCTACTTGAGATTATAACTTGTGACATTAGAACAAAACATATGAATATGATAACATATGTAGGCCTAGGCTATAACACTAAATTGAACAATACTCTCTTAAATGTTTTTTTAATTCATTAAACATTTTCTTTTAATTAATGTTTGTATTAAACACTGACCATTACTTTATTCATTATTTCTGCTATTGCAGGATTATTTTGTATATGTAAGCGTTTTAAATTTTAGACATGTGCAAACTTGGTGCTAATGAAAAAATTCTCAAAAAAAAAAAAAACCTTTGCTTTCTAAATTAATTCTAATTTTAAAATTTAAATTTTAGATAAACTTTCTAATATGAATAAACTTAATATACAACAAAATAAACTTTAAATGAAATAAATATAAAAAGTAGTTTTGTACTTCCTACAGGGCAATGACAATGAGTTTCTAAGCAGTTACACACATCTAAATTTTTTCTTTTTCTTTTCTTTTCTTGCATTCTGAATAGGTCCAGATAGATTTCAGCCTATACCTGCACTGGATGGCCAATTTTATTTTATTCAACAGTATTTTGTATTTGTATTTAAATACATTTTTCCACACAGTATTTTGTATTTTTATTTTAAATACATTTTCATGTATTTATGCCCATCTCTGGAGACGGGCTGTTTCTAATATGGTTTGTTTCTGCGGCGCCGCTCAGAGCACTGACTGATAACACAAACCGTTACAAGCACAACATTTGAACAACCTTAAAGCAGAAAGCAACGTCGATGAACGGGCCAAGTTGCCTTCAGTCAGACACATCGCTCGCTCTTTCTGCTCTCTTTCTTTCTGCCTTTCATCTATGTTTAATAACTTCCTCTCTTGTCTCTGCACTTCCTCCAGTGATGAGGCACTTTGCTTGTGGGAACAGAGGGCTTCATTTTTCCATTAAAGAACTCATAAATAAACAGTCCTGAATATATGTGGGCTCAGTGAGATTATGTGGCAGGTCACAAGAGAGAAAACACACCTCAGGGTTTTTTATAAAAAAAAAAATTTTCTCATTATGCTGCTCTCCGCCACTGAGAATACACTGGAAAATAAATTAACGCTGTGCATGAAAGTCCCTAGAAATGTCTCTCTAGAGTACATTTCTGTAAATAAGGTAATTCTCGAAAACTGTTGAAATATTTAACTTGAATTATGAGTAATTTTATCAAAATAAAACTGCATCTGGACATTTTACATACTGTCTGGAGGCATCTGGTTATATTCATTGCATAACAGTTAGTGCTCAAAGGTTTCTCAAGAAATTGTTCACCCAAAAATGAAAATTTGCTGAAAATGTACTCATCCTCAGGCCATCCAAGATGTAGATGAGTTTGTTTTTTCATGAGAACATATTTGGAGAAATTAGCATTACATCACTTGCTCACCAATGGATCCTCTGCAGTGAATGGGTGCCGTCAGAATGAGAGTTTAAACATTTGATAAAAACCTCACAATAATCCAGAAGTACTAATCCACACGACTCCAGTCTATCAATTAATGTTTTGTGACATGAAAAGCTGTGTGTTTGTAACAAACACATTATGTTTGTAATAGGCCCGGGCGATAAAACGGTATCGATATTTATCGACGGTACACCGATAACGATAGAAAAAATGTTCATATATCGCACGATAGTTTCACGCTTTTTTCATTTAAAGGCGCATGTTATGAGGGACAAGCAGACAGCCAGAACACAAACACGAACACAAACCTGCCTGCGATGAGAAAACTGTGAATCAAAAAAGGAATATTAGTCGAATTTAAAATAAAATTCTCATTTGAATGCAAAAACGGTGTATTTGAATTGTAGGTGTGCGTCAGGGAGCCTTATCCACGAGATGCGGTGAGGATGATGTTGTTGCATTTTAATGTTTTTGTTAGTCTATATCCAGTTGAACCCACAAGATGCGCCGCTGCTGCATTATTCATTCAAAATATTAGAGAACTATAGAAGCTCAATGTGGAGAAGATATTGGTTTGGTTAAAACCGAAACCAAGCCATTCACACAGAACGCATATTTGGCGCGTTCTTGAGACGCACAACTATGACTGTTGCACTCGCCCCAGCAAGCAATAGCCGTCATTTCAACGTCTCGGTTAAGTATAGACCCGATATAGTCCGGCTATGTGTAACCCACTTCTAGCCCAAATAACCTTGAATTTGGTTTCATGTCGTTTTTTGGCAAAATAACTAGTGAGATGTATGATATTCCATCATGTAAGCAAAGTAACAGCGTTTACAGTCGTTTAATAGCCGTCTAATTGATGACTAGTCTATAAATGGGCTATGATTAGACGTCTATTAGATTTTCACTGACAGCCCAAATTTAGCCTCGTTTTAGCCTAGACGTATAGGCTATATTTAGACGTCTAATAGAAGTCTTTTAAACGCAAGATTGCTTGCTGGGGCGTCTCGCACAAGAGATTAATAGACACTACAGCCATGTTAAAAAAAGGTTCAGCTTTTAGAAAACGTCTCGAGAATTGGTTGGGGTTTTATTCCATTCCACTGCGTCTCTTGTGTTTTTACATGCGATCGTGTGATCGGCGCTTTGGCTATTTGTATTAATCTATGCATAAATACATGATGCTGTTTTGTTCATAATTGTTTATGCAATTTACGAAATTATATTTGATTTATAAATATTAGTTTAGACGGGTATGCACTTTTTTTATAGCCAGTCATTATTTCATAGCATTGAATAAACAATTTAATGAGGTGCATTATTTTGCTCATTGCGCCCTCCTTTGGCCTCAGGAGACAGGCCAAATGTTTAGTTTACACTTATTTAATCTGCATATAAAATATAAGAAAGGAGATATTTGTTTCAATTTTATTTTGTTATTTTGTTTTATTTGTTATTTTGCTTGTTAAGACTAAAATAAGTTGTTGTTTGTCTTAATAAATTGGGTAAATTAAAAATACAGTGGTTAAATTGAAACATTTTTTCTACTGCTCTCTGTTTAAGAAAGGTTATAAAACATTTTCAATAATTATCGATACCGAACGATATGAAACATTATATTGTGATCATTTTTTTTGCTATATCGCCCAGCCCTATAGGACAGAAGGTGAATTTGTATGCAGCCAGAGATCTGGTGTTCTTCTGGGAACAGAAAGATTCACTTCACAATGTGAGCGACACTGAGCTGCAGGTCTGCAGCTGTGAGCTTTGGGTTAGTACAGATAAGACTCATCCTTTGAGATTCCTGCTGGTTCTTGCTGTGCTTCTGTACAGAAAGTACTAAAGATTGCACAAATTAGACCCAGCCAAATCAACAGATAGCCTACTGAACGTGAGTGTAGTACATTACACTTCCATTTATTCATTCAGCAGATGCTTTTATCCAAAGCGACTTACAAAGGAGGACAAGCTAAAATCACATGTTCCCATGTGAATCCAATAAAAACACATAGCCTATACAGTTTTACTGTCACTGGTCTGTGTTTGTTTGTTCATTCATTTATTTTTACAGTGCAGTAGAATGTATAATTTTAGTGGTGCTCATATTTAATTGCAGTAATATTCTCCATCCATGCAAAACCTTCTTAAAGAAGGGCAGAGGGGCAGAACATGTAAGAGCGAGGCAGGAGATACAGTAACATACAGTAATACAGAACCATCTTGCCTCAGAGGAAATTGTCCGCACACAGCAGTGCTGGAAGTGAAACGATGCTCTGCATCACAAAGAGAGAGAGAGAGAGAGAGAGAGAGAGAGTGGGAATAAAAGCGGATGAAATCGGGCTTTTCGTCAGTTTGCAGCTGATCATCACTCTTCATCAGAGGGACTCTGACATTCTTTAATTATTCATTCTCTTCTTTCCTGTCCTTGTACTTTTTCTTTGAAGAAGCGAGGACACTGAGGTTGTGACAAAGCTGGACTTATATAGAGTCTTTTCATGGTGTTTCATTGACTGGATCCTTCATTGATTTCTGTGCATACTATCTGAGCGGAAACTGAGCTCTCAGGAGAAAGAACAGGATTTCACACTGTCGAAGACAATCAAACACTTTTCTCATCTGTAGCTTCTTTTCAGTCGAGTCTGTGGGTGTAACTTAGTTGATTCTCAAAGGTCCTGGATTTTGGTTCTCCTTTCCGATGGTCCCATTTTACTCTGTTGCTTGACTGTCTGATCTGTTTTTGAGCTGAATATTGAACTAGTTTGGACATTGTGAGGATGTCCGGCTGTGCCAGGTGCTGCAAACACGGGTTAGTGAAGTTTGCTCTGTCTGTGGGCAAGCTGGTGACGGGAACACTCATTAAAGGTATGAAAATGTGGACATAATTAACTTAAAGGGCCCATAACTCAAATATGGGTGAAATTTTGGGTGAACTACAGTGTAAAAGACAAGAAAATACTATTTCAGTCTTTCTACTTAAACATTTCATGTCTAATTCAATGCGTTGCTTGCCATTTCTTTGTAATTATTGGGGAAATGTACTAGCAGTTTCGGAGTGAAAATAGTTTCAAAGTAAATCCCAACGTAAATTGCTCAGATGTTGTTCTTTCATAACTCAAGAGATATAATGGAGCTCATTCCTTTGGATAGACTAATTAGCGAATGGTTGTCATACAGTAAAAGAATAGTATAAAATTAAAATAATATAAAATGTATGTTTTACAAGAAAATACTATTTCAGTTTTTCTACTTCAAAATTTCATGTTAAATTCAGTGCGTTGCTTGTCATTTCTTTGTAATTATTAGTGAAATTTACTGAGTGAAAAAGGGAAAACCCAAAGTAATTTCCTCAAATGTTGCTCTTTTACAACCCCAGAGATATAATGGAGCTCTTATGATTCATTTAAGCATCAACATTATCCTAAAATTCCTTTGGATACACAATTAGTCAATAGTTGTCATACAATAAGAGAATAGAGCTATAAAATTAACAAGAAAATACTATTTCAGTCTTCCTACTTCAAAATGTAATGTTTAATTCTATGCATTGCATGCCATTTGTTTGTAATTGTTAGTCAAATTTACTAGCAGTTTCTGAGAGAAGCAGTTTCTGAGCTTCTAAGTAAATCTCACACCAGATGTGTTTAGTGTTTTTAGTTTTAGTTTTAATATCAAAGATTAGTTTGGTAGTATTGAGAGTATGGCATTAACCAGTGCAGAAACATAATAAGATGAATCCTTCTGCAGAACCTCTGTAAGCACCTTTAATAAAGAACAGACAACCAAATGAACTATTACTTTCTGCAAGAACTCTTGAAAGACTGTCAATGGTTCCTCCAGTAAGAAACCTATCATAAAGAAAAGGCATTGATGCTATTGATTTATAAGTACTTATAAGTCACAATATGATATTTGAGGTGTCTAGAGATTCTCCAGGTCATCTGATGAAACCATGCATGTCATATTTACATTCATATTTACTGTGTAGTATATTGGTTGCTTGGTGAAAAAAACAGTGACTATTTATGTATGTGAGCCATGACACTCACAGTGAGTGTCATGTGGGAGAAATAGAAGTAATGGTGTTGTTTACAAGAGCAGACTGTGTGTTTCATGTGTTAGCAAAGACCTATGGGGAGTGATCACATATTCAATGTGATCTTGTGTGTGTATGTGTGCGAGCATGAAACATGAAACCAAAAGCATTAAATGGTAACTATTTACAATAAAGGTTCAATTTTCGTAACATTAGTTAACATGACCTAGCAAAGAAAAATACTTCTAAAGCATTTATTAATCTGTTCATTTTAAAATGGGCTAATACCTTATTAAAATCAGATGTTGTATCGTAATATTATTGAATGGACCCGATCAGATCATTTGATGAGAAATGTTTGAGCTCTCTGACCTTTGACTGCAGCAGGCAAATCTGATCGAGTCTGGGATGTTAAGATCTCTTTTGAAACTCTACAGGAGAGATTACTGGGGTCTTTTTCTCAGGAGAAACATCAGTAGACTTCAAATGCTTTTCACTGATGAGATGAAAGAGATCCCACTTGTGATTCTTCTTTTCTGTGGACATGAATGCAAACATATGCATGTGAAAATCTGAAAATCTAAGCATTCTCTTTAAAGCTAAAGCTGTTTCTTGCACACACACACACACACACACACACACACACAATCACTGTGTTTTTCTGTAAACCTGCAGGCAAAGTCTTCGGCATCTAAAGGGACATGTGACCATGTACTGTACATAATGTACTACACATACTGTACATACATTCACTAAGCAATTCCCAGTTTCCCACTCTGTACCTTTGTCATTGCATATTATGTAGAATGTATTTGTTTGTATGACTTCAGGCCATAAGTGCTGCATTGAACACGCACAAACACACACACACACACACACACACACACACACAGGCTCTAAAATAAACACTCTTATCACATAGATAAGGTTGAAAGGTTGAATAAATCAAACAGTTGTTTGTTTAGCTACCTATTGAACCGGCATGAGCACAGCCATATTACAATATGACAGAATAGACCCTTTTCACAGTTCTGAGGTTCTGAGAAGCAGAAG